CGTTCTCAACGCCGACGGGCGGCAGCGCTCTACTCCGGGTCATCTTCAAAAAACCGCAGGGCCCCATCAGCTCGATGGCGAAGTCGAAATCGCTAACCAGCAACCTTGGGATACCGAGTGAGTTGACGGAGTTACTGAAGCGCCTCATCTTCCGAATGTTCTCCCCGAGACCCCAAGTCAGAAACCGCGGCCATGGCTCGGGTGCACCTCTGGTCTTTCATTCAAAAGAAATCCAACCGTTGCCAGCGCCCACTTCCCGAGTCGCGCGACCACGCGCGAGGGGGCGCGCAAAGAAAAGCCCCCCCTCGCGCACCGCCGCCCCAAGCCCCCGCGGGCGCCGCCCCCAGGGGGGGGGCGGGCAACAAATGGGATCGCCATTTCATGGCTGAAGCCTGTCGCTTAGCACCCTTCAGCTCAGAGGGGGGCCCGCGGTGTTCACAGGACAGACAGGCGTCAGCCTTCAGATGCGAATCGGCAAGGAAAGACTTCGCCAGCGCACTCCAACGACTTATATTACAATAGGTGAGCCTCACGCGCGGCCCACTGCTAAACAGCTTGCCTCGGCATCTGATGGACTGCAGCCTGGAAGAGATCCTTGAACTGCGCCCCGACGGCGTTCTGGGCCCGCCGCGCGCGCTTGGTCGCGCGCGCAGCGGGCGCGTGGGACGCGAACTCCCCCATGTGGTGCCCGTCGGCTTCCGCTATGGCGCCCTCGAGGGGGCGCCCCCTGACAGGCGGCCTGCTCGTCGGCAGCTTCAGGAGGGAGAAGATCGCCAACGTCAGAACCAGCATCAGACCCCGATTCAGACAGGGGGGGCCTCGTATATCTGCATCTGCAACTGCACGAGCTGCCTGACGAACTGGCGGGGCAATTGGCGCTGAGCACAGAACTCACGAAGGCGAGGCTCATCATAGCCAGCGAGGTCAGGTAGATCATCTTGCATCGGAACATCAGCAGCTGCTGCTGGGCCCCTGGCCGCTGGCCCCGCGCGGGCGCCGCCTGGTCCACCAGGGGGAGGTCGGGCGGCCGCCGCGCCGCCAGCGCCAGGCGCGCCGCCGCGAGCGGCGCCCCCGCCTGGCGGGGCCCGGGGGCCGCCCGCCGCGCCCGCCGGGGGGGGGGGCGCCGGCGGCCCGCGCCCGCGCCTCAGCCGCGCGCGCGGCAGCCGCAGCCGCTGCCACCTCCTGCCGCTTCTGAGCGATCCAGTCCTCCCCCTTGAAGGCATCGACCAACTCATCAGCGGCAGTCTTCGTCGCCTGGGCGCCCCGCTCAGCATCCTGAACCGCCTGCATCGCAGCCTGCGCCTCCGCGAGCTGCTCCTGCAAGCGCTGCACCTTGGACCTCCTCTGGCGCAGGTCCTGGGAGGCGAGGCGAACAGCTCGAGCATAAGTCTCAACTTCACGTGCGAGGCGCGTGCGCTCAATGCTTGCACCGTCCGAGAGCTGCGCCTGAACCCACTCAGCAATTTCAGGTGGATGGGGGCTGCACGAAGTCGCCAGGCTGTCCCTGCAGATTAGGCCGAGCAGCCAGCAAGACTTGCGCCGCTGAGCGAAGGTCTACATCATCACCGGCTCCTCCTTGGGCGCGGGTTCCTCCACGCTCCCCGCCCGCGCGTCCAGCAGGGGCTCCGTCGTCGTCTCCGATGCAGAGGCCGCCACACTTTGAGCAACACCAGTTGCCGAAGGCCGTGTACTCCAGCAGACGTGATATGATTTCTTATTATGATTCTTTTTTTTATCGCCACTCTTGGTGCGTCCCTTGGCGCCGCCGCGGCCGCGCCAGCCGCCATTGCGCCAGGGGGGCACCGTCGCGCCAGGCCATCGCTGCCGACCGCGCAGATATGGAAAGCAAAAAGGGGACATATTAGCACCTGACGCAAAGTACCGTGGTTGCAAACGGCCCCTGCGGTCGCATTCGGGTGAGGTTGGGAAGTTCACGGGCAGGCCCCTTGAGCCCAAATGGCTAAGGGGCGAGGAAGGGGGAGGAGGAGGAGGAGGAGGAGGAGGAGGAGGAGGAGGAGGAGGAGGAGGAGGAGGAGGAGGAGGAGGGGCAGGAGGACAGGAGGGGGGGAGGAGGAGGAGAGGAGGAGGAGAGAGGAGAGGGAGGAGGGAGGAGGGAGGAGGGAGGAGGGAGGAGGAGGGAGGAGGAGGAGGAGGAGGAGGAGGGAGGAGAGGAGGAGGAGGAGGAGGAGCGGAGGAGGAGGAGGGAGGAGGAGAGAGGAGGAGGAGGAGGAGGAGGGGGGAAGGGGGGCCCTGTCCTGTCCCTCGGTGTGCCGCCTATGCGAAGACGTACCGAGGGGCGAAAAAATGTTGGCCCCCCCTTTCGTTTGTTTACAAACGTCTCTTACACGGTTCCCTTAGTGCGTGCCGTGGACTTGCCTCACACGCCTGGCCCCAGTGGACACCCATCACAAAGTGAGGTGGGTGCTGGGGCCGCGGGTTCAGCGGGAGGAGGAGGAGGAGCAGGAGGAGGTGGAAGAGGAGGAAGAGGAGGAGGACGAGGAGGAGGAAGAGGAGGAGGAGGAGGAGGAGGAGGACGAGGACGGGTCGCCTAAGCTCTTCGGCGAAACCCTCCACCCCCCCCGTTCCCCATAGCTTCCCATCTGTTCCTGGGAATCCGAGAAGTGCTCCGTGCTCCTCCGGAGACGCAGGCAACCTCTGAGAGGGCCAAAGAGGACCTCTGAGAAGCCCCGCCGCCTTCTGAGAAGGCCTGCTCCTTCTCCATTTCCCCCCCCAAAACGAAAAACATGCCCTCTCAGAAGTGTCCCGAGCCTTCTCTGGAGACGTAGGCAACCTCTCAGAAGGCCAGAGGGCCTCTAAGAAGCCCCGCCGCCATCTGAGAAGGCCTGCTCCTTCTCACTTCCCCCCTGGGCGTGCCACCGATGTTGAAACGCTTGGCCGAATCCTCCCAACTCTCATGTTCCAGCTTCTAGCACCCCACCATTATCCAAAACTCCTTCTTCCTAGAGGCTGACAACCGTGAACGATGTCTGCTGGTCATGCCAAGCGAAGCCATGCCGTACACAGCTGTAGGAATGATCGCATATTCGATAACCTTCAACCGAAGGCGCAATGATATGCTAATATTGGTAAGGATCTGCTCGCTCGCGTGGAAGCGACCGCACTCGCACTCCAATGTAGAGTCTAAGTGAGAATCCGCGCGGCCGGTCAGACTGCCACTGAACTTCGGGCCGAAGTACTCGTGGAAGTCACGGCACGGCATGACAGGTAAGGACCTAGCACCGCGAGAGGGAGCCGCGGCGTCGTGGGATCTCTGCACGTTGGCGGGCGCACGCGAGCTGGAGCAGGTGCGAACGCCGGTCGGGCCACGGGCGGGATCCGCCGGGAGCAGATCTGGGCACGAAGGGGCGCAGGGCGAGGGGAGGCGGAGGGCCAGAACCGCTCAGAGCGCTCAGCATCGTGGGAATTCGCCAAAGGGGGGAGGGGAGGGGGGGGCTGCGGCCCAGCATGAGGGTGGGGGAGGCAGAAGGGCACCGATCCGACTGCGCATCCGCCGAACTTTGGCTGGATCTCCGACTCCAAGCTGATGCATGCCTATGTTTTTGCGCTGCGCCTCGGTGCTGTCTTGCGTGCTGCCTGCCTCGGCCTGCACATCCCCTTGACATGCAAGCGATGGTTGTGTCGTTGTGCAGGGCGACAGTATCCGCCTCAGAACCAGGAGGGCGGGCAGTCTCGCACAAGCATGGCGGAAACAGCGACGACAAGGAGGTGCGGAAACCGACGTCAAAGGAGCTTGAACAGCAGGGCGGTGATTCCCGCCCTGCGTGCGAAATCGCCCCCCAAAAAAGCGGACCCGAAGTCAGGGGAGGGCGGGGGCACGAACAGATTCCGATACCGCCACGAGGAGGAGTAGGAGGAGGAGGAGGAGGAGGAGGAGGAGGAGGAGGAGGAGGAGGAGGAGGAGAGGAGGAGAGTACATCTTGACCAGAATGTCAAGGAGAATCCAGCCGTGGAGACGAGGGCCCTCCAGAACGAGCAGCGGTGCTCGGTCAGCCTCGAGCTGGGCTCGCTCTCCGGCGCCCCGTCCTGGGCTGAAAGCCCCCCCCTCTGCTCGGGTCGGGCGGGGAGGAGGGGTAGAGAAGGGAGGGGCCAGCGAACCAGCTCGCGTTGCTGGCTCTCCCAGGGCCCCCTGGCGCCAGAGGCGCCGATGCATCGAGGAGCGCGAGCCCAGCGACGAGGCCCAGACCAGCGGAGTGCAGCGGCTTTCGCACCCCTCCCGTTCCACAAACCCTCGCCGTCCGTCCTACGGCAGGTTCGCGTCGTGTCGACCCCGGCGTTGGTTCCTGACACCGCGGGGATCGTTCAAACTTGAACGATCGGCCGTTCCGTGAACGCCGTTCGCGTCGTGTCGAGCCCGGCGATGGTTCCTGACACCCACAGCGGGGATCGTTCGAACTTTAACGATCGGCCGTTCCGTGAACGCCGGATCGTTCAACGACGGGCCGATTCTGGGCCACGGGCGGCGTTCAACCTTACACGCGCGCGCTGGGGTCGCCGCCGGTCGGCACGACGCGAACCTGTCGTACCCGAACCACGGCGGGGACAGTTGGGGACATGGCCGAACCACGAGAGTGGCGGCGACGGAGTGCAGTTCTGTGGAGAACGGGCAACGACTTCAGCGCAGGCGTCGGTTCTGTTTTGGCCGTCTGGGCGCTGTGCGTCTAGCTCATCTCGGCGCGACGCTGCCGAGGAATCCAGCGGAGAGGAGGATGGGTCAGCGGTGACAGGGGGCAAACGAGACCGTCTAGCAGAACACGGTAGGAAGCGAAGGGGCTTGAGAGACAGGCATGAAATTCGACAGCGCCCTGCCGATCACAGGGGGTATGGCTCATCAGCGAGCGGCTCAGGCAAGACCGATGGTAACGACCACGCTGCCAGCAGTAGACTTGACGCAGGCAGTGAAACAACGACGGATCAGGAAGAGCGCATGGGCACCATCAACGCAGCTCGCAAACCCGATCACATTTGGGAGTTAGGAGCTCCTTTGTCAACAAGTCCTCGACAAACTTCCCCTCGCTCATGCGCTCTCCACCTGCGGTGCATGCTAGAGCTCAGACACTGCACTGGCAGAAATCCCACCAACTCTTTAGGGCGTGAGTGATTTAGCGGGCTTCCTCTTCCAACCCCCCTTCTTCCCCTTCGGGGAAGCGTTGATCACTACTCCCTACCATTACACACCCCCTCCCCCAGGCGACGGGCAGCCAATCAGGACCAATGAGGTCCCCCCCCACCATCCCTGTCAAAAAACAATGAGAAGTCCACTTTGGGGCAAAATCTTGGGTCATGATTTGGGGGGGGGGCGCGAGCACTTTGTTTACAGGGACGGCGGGGGTGCCCGCCGCATCTTGCCTGCTGTGCACACAACATCCCTCCCTATCCAACACACAATACTGAATGGACTCCGAGACAAAATCTGGATCATGCGCGGGCACCCAGCGATCACTGTGCATTGGTTTTTGACTGGGACGACGGGGGTGCTGCCATATTACCTGCTGTGTACAGCCCCACCAGAAGCTATGATGGCCACCCCAAAGAGATTGCGCACTGGTTTGCGACAAGGGTGGTGGGGGCCGACACGTTTCCCGGTATGCACTGTCGGGTGTACAGGCGCACCTGGCACACCCTGCGCGTGCCCCGAACGTGGCGCACCTGGCGCAGCTGGAGCATGCGGCACACATGGCGCACGTGGCGCATCTTGCGCACAAGGCGTGCCCGGCCCGCTTGGGCCACAAGGGTGCATGGCGCACCTGGCGCGCGTGGCACGCCTGGCGCATCTCACCCCAGCGTTGCGCCCATGGGGTCTGTTTGGGTTCCCATTAGCGGCCTATCCAAAGACTACCGCTGACACGATGCGGCTCGGGTGCCACTTTTGTGTTGGGAGGGCGGGTGGGAGTGAGCGAGACGGCTTGCGGGCGGGGATGGTGTCTTGACCCCTCTCCCTACCCCCTCCCCTGAACCTGGACGGGGCGCCCCGCGACCGATTGAGTGTTCTACGGTTTTGGGCACATGTTTGCCTCCTTGGGGGGTGGGGGTTTAATTTAGCTCCCCCCTTCTTTGATCGATCTCCCCCAAGATGGCCCCGAGATGGCCCCCATCGGTGTGCCCCAGGACGGCCCCAATAGGGCCCCAAGAGGGTCCCAGGAGACCCCCAAGAGGCCAAGAGGCTCTCCCGAGGCACCGAAGACGTTCTACGAGGCCCCTGCGACCACCAAGAGGTCCCCAGGGCTCCCAAACAGGAACCTAGGAAACTCCCAAGAGATATCCGGAGAGACCCCGAGAGACAACCCAAGGGCCTCTGGCCTCTCTGCTCGCCATCCTCGTCATCCTCCTCTTCCTCCTCCTCGTCCTCATCGCCATCCTCGTCCTCGTCATCCTCGTCATCCTCGTCCTCCTCGTCATCCTCGTCCTCTTCCTTTTCTTCCTCATCAACTGCCTAAATCGCCTGTTCCTCCTCCTCCCTCCTCCCTCCTCCCTCCTCCCTCCTCCCTCCTCCTCCTCCCTACTCCCTCCTCCCTCCTCCTCCTCCTCCCTCCTCCTCTTCTTCCTCCTCTTTTTCCTCATTCGCCTGTTCCTCCTCCTCCTCCCTCCTCCCTCCTCCCCCCACCTCGCAGACACAACGGGTGCCCTGTCACTCCAGGAGCAGCAGGCACCACCCCTCCCCCTCATCCTCCTCCTCCTCCTCCTCCTCCGCCTCCTCCTCCTCCTGCTTCTCCTCCTCCTCTGCTCCTCCTCCTCCTCCTTCTCCTCCTCCTCCCCCTCGTCCTCCTTCTCCTCCTCCTCCTCCTCCTCCTCCTCCTCCTCCTCCGCCTCCTCCTGCTCCTCCTCCATGCCCCCCCTACGGGGGAACGGCAGCTCCCCCAGTGTTTATGATACTGCCCATGTTTACCCCAGGCGTCTAGAATCCGCCGGCCCCCTTGTGGGGCCACCAGGCTGTAGGCGCGGGTTCGCAGGTTCCTGTGTCAGTTGTAGCTTGTAGTTTCCAGTGTTACAGTTCTGCTTCTTGCTGGTTACTGTAACTAGTTGATTGACCGCGCGAGGGGAGGGAGGCCCAAACCAGATATTTAGCACCTCCTGGGCGCGTTGTCTGAATTGCTGGGGGGGCTCGAAATCGACACCCCTCACGCAGATCCGCGGGGTCAGGGTCCTAAAACACAAGGGATTTGCCACATTTCTGAAATTCGGTGCCACCCCTCACGCAGATCCGCGGGGTCAGGGTCCAAAAACACAGGGGATTTGCCACATTTCTGAAATTCGGTGCCACCCCTCACGCAGATCCGCGGGGTCAGGGTCCAAAAACACAAAGGATTTGCCACATTTCTGAAATTCGGTGCCACCCCTCACGCAGATCCGCGGGGTCAGGGTCCAAAAGCACAAGGATTTGCTACATTTCTGAAATTCGGTGCCACCCCTCACGCAGATCCGCGGGGTCAGGGTCCAAAAACACAAGGATTTGCTACATTTCTGAAATTCGGTGCCACCCTCTCACGCAGATCAGCGGGGTCAGGGTCCAAAAACACAGGGGATTTGCCACATTTCTGAAATTCGGCGCCACCCCTTACGCAGATCCGCGGGGTCAGGGTTCAAAAACACAGGGGATTTGGCACATTTCTGAAATTCGGTGCCACCCTTCACGCACATCCATCGCAAGGCGTGGTAACCCAAACTGCGAGAACTCCCTCGGCCCTTTAATCGCAAGGTGTGGTAACCAAGCCCGTAAACCATACACGTCTTACCAATCGCCAGGTGTGGTAACCCCTCTTGTGATCAGTTGGTTTTGCTGATTGCGAATCGGCTTCGCATGAAGTTTCGATACTGCTTCACGACAGCGCCAAGGCCTCATGACTTAGCTCTTCCATGGCCCATTCTCCGAGAGAGGGGGCCGGCGGCAGGGGGCGAAGCCCTTACGGATAGAGAGCACTTGCTGACAAACTCGATCCTAGAATCCACACGCTAGAGCACGCTGGGCATGAAACACTTCCATCGTGCTGCATTGCGCGAGCTTCTTCCATAGCCGCGGCCGAAGTTGACAGAGGGATAAAGAGACAATGTGAGAACAGGACTCGACTCTGCGCGCGAACATGTGAAAGTGGGAGCGTGCCCACCAGACTCTGGGCATGGCACAAAATCCTCGTTCTCGATCAGGAACTCAGAGAGGAGGTCCCAATACCGATCCTGCAGGGCCGCTGCGCTCTCCGCGCCATCTAATGTTATGTGAGCGCGCCTGTCCCCCAGCCGCCACACACATACACACATACACACATACACACATACACACATACACACATACACACATACACACATACACACACATACACACATACACACATACACACATACATACATACATACATACATTACATTACATTACATTACATCACATCACATCACATCACATCACATCACATCACATCACATCACATTACATTACATTACATTACATTACATTACATTACATTACATACATACATACACACATGCATGCATGCATGCATGCATACATACATACATACATACATGCATACATACACACATACATGCATACATACATGCATGCAGACATGCATGTATGCATGTTTGCATACATACATACATACATACATACATACATACGTACGTACGTACATACATACATACATACATGCATACGTACATACATACATACATGCATGCATACATACATACATACATACATGCATGCATGCATGCATGCATGCGTGCATGCATGTCTACATACATACATACATACGTACATACATACATACATACATGCATACATACATGCATACATACACACATACACACATACATACATACATACATACATACATACATACATGCATGCATGCATGCATGCATGCATACATGCAAACATACATACATGTTTGTGTATATATATACATATATATGTATATGTACATACCTGCATACTCATACACACTTCTGCATGAGGAACAAGAGGTGGAGCAGCAGGGACGTGGTCGAACGTGGAAACATAACGATTGCATATTACAATCAACGCGCGCGCGCGCCTTGGCATAAAAAGGAAGCATGCACACATGTTCTGGCGACGCACGGCTAAAACTGCAACATGCCTACCGCGCGCTGTCCATGAAATTGAGAACACGAATCGCGAGGGCCCTGCACTTCAGAAGCGCAGTCGCTGGTCATACAAAACTATGCGCTCGCAAACATGTACCCCTGGCAATGCTGCGAGTGAAGACCGTACTGATAGTTCGTATGCGATGGTAGTTGTACTACATACCAAGAATTATGGCAGATGGAACAAGGGCCCGCGGTACCAGGAGCCACACCACGAGCGCATTGACAACATAATGCAAACAGCTCTGCGACAAGGATCCGCTGCACGATACACTTGGGAGAGCCATTGCGAAACATATGCTTGTGCCCAATACGAGTGGCAAACAACGTTGGGAAACGTGAGCAGATTTCGCATCCGACAACGCGCAATGATTACTGTAACCTACCCATGCGACGACGGGCACACAACCACGCGCTTGATTAACGACGGGTAGCATGGAAAAACGCTGGCGGCCCCTTCATTACCATATGAAGCGGCTACCGTGCATAGATGCACACGTGCATGTGCAAAAGTGTGCAAATGCCTGTGTGCATACGATATATGTTGCCTTCATTGACAAGCGCTGCGTCAAACTGCCCGAACAGCTTCACACCGTTACGGGATGGGGGGGCACGATGGAGAACCGATGTCAGAGGTCTGGGTTACTTGGACGCCCGAGTTATCCGGGGTAACTCGGGTCCGGGATAACTCGGGTTTGGATTCCCGAAAAAGGAACCCGAGTTAGCCCTGACCCGAGTTATCCCTGATGATTCGGGGCTCTGGGCGCCCGAGTTATCCGGGGTAACTCGGGTCCGGGGTAACTCGGGTTTGGATTCCCGGAAAAGGAACCCGAGTTATCCCTGACCCGAGTTACCCCTGATGATTCGGGGCTCTGACATGGGGCGTGAGCATGGCGCGCGAGATGCCAAACTCACGGCCAACTTCCAGGGCCGACGCTCCTCCTCGCGCCTCCGCGGCGACGCAGGACACAAACGGTGTGGCCATGCGGGTGCCAGGACAAGCTGGCCCAACCAAGGGAAGCTGCCCCAGTGGGGCAAGCCTCCGCCTCTTCTGCCGCCATACACGTCGGTCGGAAGAAGTAGGCAGAAGCATGAGGTAGGAAGGCGGACATAGCAGATTGGGTCCAGGTCCCCCCAGAGCATAGCCAAACACGGCAAAAGCATGCCGATTCCTGAGGTAGGAAGGCGCTTGAAGCAAATTGGGATCTGAGAGTCCACAAATACCTACTTTCAATTCAACGACCGGCGTGTACTTTTTAAAGCTGGGCAAGCAAACGTTTGGCCGAATGGCCACTGCATGAAGGCGGCGGCGGCTGGTCCAGGCCCGACGCGGGAAGCGTGACCAAAAAAACCCGGAGGCGCGGGGCTGGAACGGGCGTGGCATTGACAAGAAGAGCTGACGGAAGCCCGCAGAGGCGAAGCGTGTGCAGGCACCAGGAAGCGGTCGAGGAGGCAGACAAACTGAGGTCAATACCTCCCCCGTCTCCTCCTCCTCCTCCTCCTCCTCCTCCTCCTCCTCCTCCTCCTCCTCCTCCTCCTCCCCCTGCAGCCGAAAGTGGGTCTGTGCGCGCGCACGCTCGACGCCACCCACTGACGCCGAAGAGCCACACATTCTTTGCGCTTGACCTTGGGGTCCGTCCGACGCGGCCATCCGCTTCCTCCTCCTCCTCCTGCTCCTCCTCCTCCTCCGCCTCCTCCTCCGCCTCCTCTTCGTCCTCCACCTTCTCCTCCTCTTCCTCCTCCGCCTCCTCCTCCGCCTCCTCCTCCTCCTCCTCCTCCGCCTCCTCCTCCTCCTCCTCCGCCTCCGCCTCCTCCTCCTCCTCAAGCACCTCCCTCGTTTGCCGGCCGTGGGCGGCCGAGGCGAGGGCTCCTGGTGCACGCCGAGGCGCACGTAGACGAACGCCGCGCAGCGGACCCTGGTGTTTGCGAGGGGGCGGGGGGGGGGGGCCGGCGAGGGAGGGGGGGTGGGCGGAGGAGGGGGAAAAAGATGGAGAACAAGAGGAGAAAGAAGAGAATACTGTTCGATCGCGAGCGCAAACGGAAAGGCCGCGCGCCGTCCAGAGCTACCGCGAACCAGCAGGAGCCCAAATTGCACACGAGAGAGGAAAGGAGAGAACACACGAAGCGCGGAGAAAACACAGAGGGGGGGGAGAGGCAGAACGTGTGGAGTCAGCGGGCGGGGGAGGGGTCAAGCAAAGGAGGGGGAAGCTAGGGGCGCAGGGGGGAAGCGAAGGGGAGGGCGGAGGGGAAGCGGCGCAACTGGAAGAACAGAGATGAGAAGGCGACAAGGGGAGGAGAGGGATGGCAGGAGGAGAGGGCGGGGTGAGAGGGATGGGAGGGGATGGGGGGAGGAGAGGGATAGGAGGAGGAGAGGGATGGGAGGCGGAACGGGAGGGGAGGGGGAGGAGAGGTGGAGGGGGAGGAGAGAGCGGAGGGGGAGGGGGAGGAGAGGGATGGGAGGAGAGGGACGACGAGAGGGGGAGGAGGAGAGGGATGGGAGGCTGGCTGGCGCGCCCCCGTTCGCGGCCAGTGCCCTCGGAGGAGAACACGCACCACGGAGAGGATCCACGGGTGGAAGAGGACGTGCCCAAGAAGGGGACGGGGCCGGGAGGACGGAGAGGGGAATCTGACCGTGCGTACGAAAGATTGGTCACAATGACAAGCAACGAGGAGGATTTGACATGTCCACCGCTACTACCTGCTCCTCCTCCTCCTGCTCCTCCTCCTCCTCCGCCGCCTCCTGCTCCTGCTCCTGCTCCTGCTCCTGCTCCTGCTCCTGCTCCTCCTCCTCCTCCTCCTCCTCCTCCTCCTCCTCCACCTGTCCCCCACGTGCCCCAGATCCTTGTGGATGTGGCCTCCCGCCCCGGCGGTGGCTGACCATCCTTCAAAGTCTGGGCCCGTTTTGGAACTCTGCAGGTTGGGTGGTAGTGCGTATTCTCTCCCCCTCCGGAAACACAAACCACAACAAAAAATATCCATCGGCGTGTGTGCGACGTTTTCCGTTTGGGTCGTCCTCGTCGTCTCCGTCGCCGTTCCACCCCTTTCCCTGGGCCCGCCTCCTCAAGCGAGTAAGCCAGACGGAAATCAAACGCCGTCGCAATTGATTCGACGGGAAGCCCCCTCCCTTGATTCGTCGTAATTGATTCCGGCGCGGATCCAAGAGATCCGCTTGGAGCGCCACAACTGTTCATGCCGTGTTTTTTTTTCCCTCGAACCGAGGCCACGGCGCCCGAGGACCCCGAGAGCCTCGAACCAAACCCCGAGCCTCTCTCGAGGGGCGCGCCCCCCCCCGCGGATAGGGCGCGGCGGGCAGGCGGCAAGGGCCCCTCCATCTCGATCGGCTGTTCAGCAGGCTGCGCAGCTCGCTGTCCTGCCGACCCCCGGGGCCCCGCGCGCCGACGCGCGCGCGGGGGGGCGACGGGCAAGACGAAGCCAGGACGAGGAGACCCTGAGCACCCCAATCGTCTACACCCTGCGAGATGCTTAAGAAATCATGGGTTAAGAAATTCATAGTCTCAGAACTTGAGTAAAAACCCAAAATTCCCACTCAAATCTTAGGATTTACATTGAAACATTAAGAATAATCAAGACTCTGGCCGAAAACTTAGGTTTTCTTAAACATCGCCTAAGGTGTAGACTTGAGCATCCGGACTACAGGGGCCCCCCCGGACTACAAGGGCACCCTCCAGACTACACTGGGACCCCCCCACAAGGGCCTCCCCACGGGCTACACGGGCCGCCCCCCCCCCCTGGACTGCACGGACCCCTTCCGGACAAAGAAAAGGCCCACACCTGGACTTCCGACGCGTGAAACCACAAAGATCAACGCATTCCCCCCCCAGGACTACAGGACACCCCCCCTCCCGGACTACGCCCCCCCCCTCCCCCCCCCGCGAACTATATACAAGGAGCCCCCCCCCGGACTACAAGGCCCACTCCTCCACACTGCGGGGGCCCCCCCTTGAACTACAGGGCCCCCCCTCTCCGGACTACAGGGCCCCCCCTCCACCACTATACTAGCCACCTCAAAACTATCATTGAAGCACTCAGAACACGTTCGGGTGAAGATGAATCGAGAATCTGTGAGATCTGGCGGCTCATGGAAGATGCGGCATCGGGCGTCGCGGCCTCCTCGAGGCGCTCCGGAACGCTCCGAGAGCGCCCATTCCCCGTGCACGTTCCGGCATCGTGCGCTCACTCTTTGCGCACGATGGTCCACAGCACTCCTCGATGGTCCCAGACCCCCGACGTCATGATTTTTTCATGACGCGACCCCCAGAGGTCCCGACCCCTTCCACGGGACCGGTTTTTCGTCCTGCGTCGTTTTTTGACGCTCCCGAGGCCCGGCGAGGGCCCCCGGAGGCCGAAAATGGCGAAAAACCTCCCGTCGTGATTTTTTCACGACGCGAGGAGGTCTGGGGTCGTCGCCAGGGCCAAATGCCCACGCCCGAGGGATGCCACGCCGCCCTGGCCCCGCCCGACGGGGGCCCGCCCGCGGGGCGGGGCAGGCCTCCCCTCGCCGTGGCCCGCGGGCCACGGCCGGCGGGCGGGGCGCCGGGGACGCCGCCGGAGGCAGGCCGTCGGAGCTCCGCGCCCATGGGGCCCTCCCCCATGGGCTGCGGCGAGGAGGAGGAGGAGGAGGAGGAGGAGGAGGAGGAGGAGGAGGAGGAGGAGGAAAGGAGCCCGTCGCACCTGGCGGGCTCGCTCGTGCCGGGCCCGGGGCCCCCACAGGTCGATCCGGCTCGAAAAGGCGCAACAAAAATAGGGTCCAGGGCTCTGGTCGAGCTCCTGCGCTGCAGCTTGGTCGCAGCTCGCGGGTTCGCTCATTCCGGGCCCGGGGCCCCCACAGGTCGATCCGGCTCGAAAAAGCGCAAGAAAGATGGGGTCCGGGGCTCTGGTCGAGCTCCTGCGCTGCAGCTTTGTCGCAGCTCGCGGGCTCGCTCGTGCCGGGCCCGGGGCCCCCACAGGTCGATCCGGCTCGAAAAGGCGCAAAAGAGATGGGGTCCGGGGCTCTGGTCGTGGTCTTCTGCGATGCTGCGTTTGCTTTGTTTTGCTGCGTCGGGTCTCAGGGGCATCGGGCCCCAGGGGCCAGCAGAAAACGACTCGGGAACCTTCGACCTGCACGTTACGCGCGGCAGGTGCCACGCTGCCGCGGCCGCCGCCGCGGCTGCAGCGGCGGCCACCGTCGAGGCCGCACCGTCGCGGCACCTGCCGTGCGGAAAGTGCAGGCCGAGGGAAGAGGCCCAAACCTCCAGGGAACCTTTTTTTGTGCCCGGACAGAACACCTGCAGCCGGACCTCGCAACATGAACGGCGGCACAGCTCCGCCCCAGGCGTCACGTCTACGCCGCCGTTGCGAGGTGCCTCGAGATGACACCCCGAGACACGGCCTCCAGCACCACCCCCACTTGGCCGCCGGCCTCACGCAGCGGAGACACTGCTGCCCAAGGACTTAAGTTCCCGCGCCTGCCACGTCGGGAACCTCCTTGGGGAACCACAGGTCCGAGGAGGCCGGGGGGCGTGCCAGGGTCGGGCGCTGCCAGAGGCAGAGGCTGGTCCAGGCCCAGCGTGTCCCCAGCTCTCCGGGCCGCTCTGGAGCCCTTGGGGCCGTCCAGGTCTCGTGAGGGGTGCTCTTGAAATCTTCGGGGCCTCTTTGGCCACTGGCAACGCCCGACAAGGGGTATTGGAGCAGGCAGGCCCGAGGAGGGCCTGGTCAGAGCGGGGATTGGGAGCGAGGGGTAGGGAGGGGGAGAGGGAGGAGATGCAGGGGAGCAGTGAGGGAGGATGGAGGGAGGGGAAGGAAGGAGGGTGGGAACTGAGGGAGGACAGAACGAGGCATGGAGAGCGAAAGGGAGAGGGAGAGCAAGCGGGAGGAGGGAGGAGGGAGGCGGCGGGGGGAGATGCCACGCTTTCGACTCGCTCTTCGGGGGGCCCCTCCCTGGGCGCAACAGGTCGGACCGCCCTGCCTGCCAACGCAGCAGGCACC